CATAAAATATTGGGATATTTACAATTTTTGTCTATAGCTATAGCACGCTACAATATTTCCAATTGGATTTAGCAGATAGCTCTTCAAAGGTGTGCAGCGTTTCTCAGGATGCAGTACACAATTCTTGATAAAAAATGCAAAGAGCTCGACAGAATTTAAATTGACTGGTTAAAAATAATTGGCGCCAGGGGCAACTTTCAGATAGTAATCATAGGGTGGATTCATTTGCAAGATACGCGTATAGCTGTCGCATTTGCCCATAATTATTAGGACAGATTATAAAATGCTTTATTATTTTTCTAACATAAGGTTGACAAAAGAATACAATGCATATAGTTTTAAAGCAAAGAAAGTAACACCAGCTCTTGATTATTATCCTATCAGTGCGTTCCGTATCTTTGTCCGAAGCCTTCCCTTCCGTGATCAGCTACATCTATTTCAAGGCCCCTGTTTTTTCAAATCTAGAAAAGAAAACAAGATTTTTTTTAGAAGGCCGTAGGAGTTTCAGATTTAAGATTGGTGTTAAAGACTTAATTTGGTTGCCTTTAACCCTTTAAGCGCTAAGAGTTGATCAGCATCAAATTTCTCCTTGTAATATGAATGCTTTGTAAAACAGAGCGGTCATGAGAATTACAGTCATGATCACTTACTAGATTGTAAGGCTTATTCTCAGATCAGAGACATATTTTTCTCGAAACTAGAAACTAAAATACCTGACTTCAAATCACTTTCACACGATACTTTAATATCTCTTCTTATGAATTCTTCTGATTATTTAATTAACTGTCAATTAGTTTCATTTATCTCGCAATGCTTTGAATTAAGGACCAAATTAATATCAATGAATGAATGAATGAGAACTGTCACGTTTTGTAATGTTTTGCACGTACTAATTAGTTGAATTAGTGCTTAATTTTAGATGAATAGCTTTTGCAATACTGTAATTCCTTTATGGTCATGCAAATAAAGCTTTTGGTGTTACTGGTGTTACTGCTTGATATTTTATCAACGTCTCCCCACTACTTCTGTAGGAAATGAATAGCGGCAACAAACGAGAATTGAAATTTAATTTTAACCTTAGCGTTTAAAGGCTTAACAATTTATTAGAATATATAATTCTCCTCGCTCCTCGCCGCTTGTGGCGTTTGGCGAATAGGAACGTCTGCGATTCAGCAACAGAAATTCTACACAGATGACCAGTTCGGGAGTATGCCAGTTTTGGAAGAAGCGATGACGTCATGATTCCATTGTTCTGCTAAAAACACGCAAAAATAGGAAAAAGTAATCGCAAGACGCAAGGGAGCTTTTTTCAAAGCCTGTTCCAGGTCTCCTCGTTCAATATCCGGGACTTCCGAGCTAGCAGTACCGATGAAGAAGCCTTCTCCTTGCTTTTTGAATGTCAAGGGAAGTTTCTCGCCACATTTCGGTAGTTAAAAGCGACAGTTTTCAAATGGCCTTCGACGCCGCCGCCGCCATCTTGACGGTTATCGAATGTAAGTACATGACTTTATCTTTAGTTTTCAGTATCTTGCCGAATTTTTAGGAAATCAAGACTAATTTTCCTCAAAACTACAACGTGCAAAGTGTGTTCAGGTAAAGTTTCATCGATGGCAACAACCTAGTAAAAATGGCAACCACACATTGAAAATTGCCAACGGACAGGAAGGGTTACTGATATTGATGGTTATGCCTTAGTCTGTCTATGTAGTTTTAGTTATAATCGATCAGGTCTGTTTTTGGTCGTGTTCACCGGCAACGTATGCGACTCTCATCTAGAAATCACTTTATTGATCCAGATCATGTGTGTGGAATGAGTTTTAAATCAGTGTGAGTAGGTTCTTATATTGATTTCTTTTATTTTGATCAGGATGTCCGTCCAAAATGTAGACAAACATCTGGAGATATTACAAACATGTTGTCGCGTTTGTGCCAAAAAGCTGGGAAAAGGAACCGGGAAGACAAAATGCTAAATATCTTCAGAACGACATATTTGTGCTCTGAGGGCAAAATATTGCTTTAGGTTCGCCTTATGTTCCACTGTAATGAAAAATTTAATGTCCAAAATCAACCCTACCTCAATAAAATTAAACATGTTTTTTTTGTTTCTTTGTAGTGTGGTCACAGGCTTACCCACCACAAAAGCCCCTCCTTTGACCCTTTCAAAAATGGGTAAGAGGGAAACAGGTTGGAGGGGGGGGCTTATATACCTTGTGAGTGGAAGCTCACACTCAATGACCATTCAACCATAGAAGAGACTGTGGCCTTTATTCAAGGGGCTTTAAAGGAGATAGATGAGGAAGGAGTCATGGAAGTGGAGGCTTGTGAAGATTTTCTCTACATAATGTTCAATCCCTCGTGTCAAATATTGTTTATACTTTACAGGTGCCAAATACATAATATGTTCAGTCCCTGTGCTGTGCAAAAGGTCGATCTGAAACATGAAAAATTCACACTCTCCCCCATCCACAGGAAAAAATAACGGATTCCCATTTTTGGATATTTTAGGGAATTTAAAGAATATCCACAAAAATCCCAAATTTGGAAGAGTGAGACAAGTCCCAATTTGGGAACTTAGTTGGGAATTCCCTGGTTGGGACTTGTCTCACTTTGCCAAATTTGGGATTTTTATGGGTATTCTTTAAATACCCTAAAATATCCAAAAATGGGAATCCGTTATTTTTTCCTGTGATCAATCCCTGTGCATGAGCAATAAGCCCACCTTTGATGTCATAATATCGAATACGTGTGTATTTGAATAAATCCTAAATTATTGAGATTCTTTTGATGAAAAAGCATCTATGTTAATGCATCGTCTTCAGCAAATCATCCTCCCTAATAAATAATACATGAGAGACATCTCACAAGATAACTATTGTCGTCATTATATCAATTAAGTTTTGGTTTTTGGTTTTCATGTCCAAGAAGGTGTTAAAAAAACAAGATTTTGAGATAAAAGAGTGTGTATAATATGCGAGCCAGCGAGCCATGGCAGCGAGTCATGCAGGTCAGAATCAAAAACAGTAATACAGAAAGAATTAACTGTCAGGACCTAAAGTAAAATGTTTATTTACAAAAACAAAATGTAACAATAAATAACTGTTATTGTATCTTTACTCTTATGTGTGAGCCTTGTTTTCTTGAAAGTGCTGTTCAATATATAGAAACATGAAGAACCGGCTATGAAAAAGAACTTTGGAAAACTTATGTTGTGTCCATGCCAAGTGCAGTAATCATTATTATTTTGGGCCAAACCTTGTGTAATAGAATTGTTTGAAGGTCCCCACAGAGGAGACTTGGAGAAAAGTGCTCCTCAAAGTTACAATGCCTTTGGTTTAAAGGCAACCCCAGAGTTAAAAACAATAATTTAGTATTATTCGGATGTAACATCAAATCCCATACAAGAGGATATTTTATAACAAATCATAACCTTGTTGATCTCTGACCTCTGGTCAAAGCCGGTGGACTACAAGACTATACTATCCCATTTTAATCAATAGATCCAAAAGCATGTAACAAGCGTAATTCTTAGTTTTCCAATATGTATATTAAATTCTAAAGAGCCTCTTGCATTTGTTAAGCTTGATCAGTGAACTTCAGAAAGTGGAATAATTGAAAGCAATAGGTATTTTTGAAGCGGGACAAAAAAAAAATGATCAGGGATGATAAGTAACTTAATATTGCTACCGCGTGGCTAAAAACTGCGTCCTTGACAACAAGAAGGCATAGAAGACTTTCGGTTGCTATGATTGTTAAAGGAGCTTGCCCTATATAAAGTTGAGCTGAAGAACGTACTCAAAATGTGGAAATAAACAAATAACGGTAATGGCGTTTAAAAAATATTTTCTGTTTCTATTGCTGCTAGCGTTTGTCATTTGCTTTGGGAACTGCTACGGTCAGGGAACGTGGCGCTGCTTATTTACAGTTTGCCCACAGGTTAGAAGATAAGTTTTTATACTGATAAACAATGTAGTTATGACAGTCGTTCTAAGTTAGTCTTTTTCCCACTACGTAAAGAACTTTAAGTCTTTTTTAGCAAACTACTTTCATTTATGTCTTCTGCCTGTTATAAGACTGACGTTTAATTACTAAGAGCTGAGGACATTTTGTCACTGTAATAAACTATGAGATTCCTTAAGCTTCAACAGTTTAAAAGAAAATTGGAAACTCCTAAAGCTTCAGGTTTTGACACACTCAGAATTCCTTGTGGTAGATGTGGTCTTAAAAAGCAGGCTTTTTTAATAAATAAAACATATTGACGGACTTTCTGAACTTAAAACTTTCAAGTTTTCATTTGAGCGGTCAATAACTTCGGGATCTTACCGTGCGGCCATCATACAGCATAGTAATTAAAAAATGTTCAAAACATGGAAATGGTCATGTCCAATAAAAAGCTTAAGCAGTGAAACCAATCTAGTAGCTTGAAGTATTACATTGATTGATTGGCAACAAATTTGAGGTTTTATCTATACATCTGCATGGAATTCTTAAAATTAAAAGCTAATCGCGCTTAATAGGTAACAATAATAGAAAATAAATTTATATACAAAATGATAAATGTCTTTTCTGAATGCGGTACCGACGGCTTCCTCAAATGGACACACACAGTAACGAATGTTTGCGGCATTTTGTTGTTATCTAACGCGTTTCAGTGTGATAATCAATAAAGATTCTTCTTCCAGGTCTCAAGCGATAATTCTTTTGTTCACATCAAATTTGTTAAAGTTTTAATCAGTAGTGCGAGTTAATAAGTCGGTTAAATTCTTGTAGATAAAAATCCATTATTTCAGAAATTGCAGATTGTTTTATGGTGGTAAATAGCTAGGTTAAATTACGTGCTAAATGACTCAAAATTGACAAGTCAGGAGATTTTTGTTATTTAACTAATAGTTTTAACGAAGCGTGGGTAGATTAAAATTCACTCATTGAAGTTTGCCACTTATCTGCACCCATATAAAACTGTGCCAACCAAGTTTAAGTTATTGAACATCATTCGACTGAAGATGGGATTCAAACTCTTTCTTGTGTTTGTGGCCCTGACTGCTGTAATCAATCTGTCTGGTCGCTGCAGGGGACAGTCCAAGTCCAGTATATGTATCCTTATTCCTTGTGGGAAAGAGGTTAGAACTGAAAACTCGTGTAGAAATCTTTTTCTTCATAAGTTAACACTACTTGATACCATGTCTAATCTGTCTATTCAGTATAGTTTTCCTTGTAATATATACAACACCATCTCTTCGATTATCTTAGCTTTGTAAATGTTGGTTTTGAATAAGCAGCATTTTTCATTCTTTCCATAAAATGGGTCAATTGAAAGAAGAAAAGTAAACTTTTACTTGTAACACCTAAAACAGAAAGTAAGTAACAACCGAATTATAACAATAACTACTAAAAGAAAGGGTGCTAAAAGTTCACAAAAAAGTGACGAATAACAACACAATTACAAAAAAAAAAACCAAAAACAAAGAGAAAGTGACTGACCTAATTCAGTAAAATTTATAATGCACTTTTTTGCATAACAACGGCACCTCCCCGAGGCTATAAAATTTGCAGGTTTTTTTCTTTAAAACAATCTGAAAAAGACTATGACAGGGTTGAAGATACTTGTTTGATGAAAATGTTGGAAAAGAAGACTTAAAACATCACACGTGTTTAACAGATATATCGTCCCAGTCTGATCTTCGGGGACAAAAGGAAAATAATTCTAATTGCAACACAACTGTCACTTATTTGTGTTAGCCATTCCGGGCCAGTCAAGGCACGGTTAAGATGTGTTAACCGTTTGAGGGTTTGAAGTTTCTTTTTAACTATTGGCTTTCTCAAATCAATCGTTTTTATTTTTATTTTTAATTTTCAGGACCAGGTGAATGAACCTTCTCCTCTCAAAAGCGATGAGCTGGAACCAAACTCAATGAAAAGAAGCCACAAGATACGTTTAGCTGAGTTGTTAAGAAACAAGCGACAGAGGGCCTACGAAGATTTTATGTTTGAAAATCAGAAAGAGTGAAGCAAGGGGAAAAAATGCATGCTGTAAGGAGGCAGATATAAGCATAAGCAAGAAATGGTGTTTCTGAACTGAGAATCATGCACGTTGTTATTCACTTGAATTTAAGGGGAGGAAGAAAAGGCATGTTTAACGCTAAATAAATATTGCTTCTGCTAACTATCGTGTGCTTTCTCTTTTTGTTAAATTCCGGGATTCTGTTTCGTAAAGTAAAACAAGGAGAATAATTTCCGATTACTTATCTTGATTCACTCCGCGTGCGACCGAGGGTAAGATCTAATCACTTATACCTTCAGCCGTTTAGCAAGCTGGGCCCGCCAGCATAGAGGAGGGAGAAAAACACGGAGCTGAGGTTGTTGTGTATATTCTTGTTGGATTTGTGACCTGCATTTATGCTGCGAGTAAAGCCACGAGACCGTCGTCTTTGTTTCAGGACCAGTGAAGTCAACATAAAATATTGGGATATTTACAATTTTTGTCTATAGCTATAGCACGCTACAATATTTCCAATTGGGTTTAGCAGATAGCTCTTCAAAGGTGTGCAGCGTTTCTCAGGATGCAGTACACAATTCTTGGTAAAAAATGCAAAGAGCTCGACAGAATTTAAATTGACTGGTTAAAAATAATTGGCGCCAGGGGCAACTTTCAGATAGTAATCATAGGGTGGATTCATTTGCAAGATACGCGTATAGCTGTCGCATTTGCCCATAATTATTAGGACAGATTATAAAATGCTTTATTATTTTTCTAACATAAGGTTGACAAAAGAATACAATGCATATAGTTTTAAAGCAAAGAAAGTAACACCAGCTCTTGATTATTATCCTATCAGTGCGTTCCGTATCTTTGTCCGAAGCCTTCCCTTCCGTGATCAGCTACATCTATTTCAAAGCCCCTGTTTTTTCAAATCTAGAAAAGAAAACAAGATTTTTTTTAGAAGGCCGTAGGAGTTTCAGATTTAAGATTGGTGTTAAAGACTTAATTTGGTTGCCTTTAACCCTTTAAGCGCTAAGAGTTGATCAACATCAAATTTCTCCTTGTAATATGAATGCTTTGTAAAACAGAGTGGTCATGAGAATTACGGACATGATCACACAAGATGAATTTGCTTGATATTTTATCAACTTCTCCCCACTACTTCTGTAGGAAATGAATAGTGGCAACAAATGAGAATTGAAATTGAATTTTAACCTTAGCGTTTAAAGGCTTAACAATTTCTTTCCCCTCATTTAATTAGAATATATAATTCTCCTCGCTCCTCGCTGCTTGGGGCGTTTGGCGAAGAGGAATGTCTGCGACTCAGCAACAGAAACTCCACACAGATGAGGTAAAATCTGTTCGGAATCCGGTCATTAGCGCTGATTGGACGACGGAGTAGTTACATTGTTTTAGCTATTGTTTACGACTGACAGACAAAAGACAAAAGGCTACAAAGGTCAAATGTAAATGCAATGAATCTACTCAAAACATTCAATATTTGTGGAATCAGGAGCGGCTCCTGGTGGAATATATTCTTCTCTAGAAGAAGCGTTAGCCGTTTTAGAAGATAGGAAACAGGGTGAAGTGGCCCTTTTAATTCATATTACTAGACATATTAAATTCTGCAAGCAGAATACTACAATACTGATCGTACTACGCGAAAATTAACTTCGCAAGACATCAACAAGACACCGAAAGAACTCAAAACGGAGCGGGATTGTAGCCATAAACATTTTCACGTAGTACAATCAGTATTGCAGAATTCAATATGTCTACTTGTTATTTTTGCTGATTAGGTCTTTATAGATCCTACGTTCTTTAGCATATTCGTTTGCGGTCCCTTACATTCCTTTGTGTTTAATGTTTGTAATATTAATATTAATGTTTGTATGTAAGAGCCTACTTAACTATTTAATCACCTGCCGGCCACGCTTCGTTTGTCGCCAGTTTTGCCACACATAATATTGACGTGCTTTTCCAATAAACCCATACTCCCTCCGAAGGTAGCTTCAATGCCTCGTATGAGATTCTTTTTGGCCTGCCGCTGAGCAGTAGGATCGCCGGCACAGCTGCCCTTAAGGCTCTGCCAGCGTTCTCCCTTACGCGGAAAATCAGAATTATCGTCACCTGCCGTGAATAGAAGAATATAAAACTGAGGTCAATGACTTTGTCCCACGTAAAGGAATCTAAGAAGTTCTGGATTCTGGACTCCACCCCGTGGATTCCGGATTCCAGGTAATGGAGTCTGGATCCTTTTTCAGTAGAACTTGGATTCCGGATTCCAATCGTTAGTGGGTTTCGGATTCCTTAAGATTATTCCTGATTCCAAAGCCCAAGGTGCCGGATTTCACAAGCAAAACTTGCTCAAAACCAAAAATTTCCCGGATTCCGGAACCCGGCCCATTCTGCTAACACACCTGTACAATCAGGCCAAGGTAACATTCTCGATACAGTTGGGCGAAAGTCCCAGACGTTCCAGCGTCCTGTTTCAGGCTGACAGATGTACAAGTTGGCCGGGATTCTTCTGAAGTCCTTGTTGTCATTACACTGAGGCGTACATACAGTCCCATCCAAAGACGCCAGCGGCGCGCAGGCAATAAGACCGTTAAACGGTGGAGGGTAAGATGGACATCCCAAACCTAAACTTTGATAAAACATACTCATTCATTTGCCGTCCATGGTGTTATATTTAAATAATAGCTAAGGACCTTGAGAATATAAATTAGATATTAAGATGGTATATATATATATATAATCCTTGTGGTTTGAGTACAAGACTAAACCTGATCGTACTACGTGAAAATCAATTTTGCAAGACATCAACACGACACCAATAGAACTCAAAACAGAGCAGCTGTCTACGGCTACCTACCCGCTCAGGGTTCTATCGGCGTCGTGTTGATGTCTTGCAAAATTAATTTTCACATAGTACGATCAGTTTTGCAGAACTTCAGCGTGTCTACTTAAACAGCATTTTTTCTTTTTGCTGATCGGGTCTTCTTTAGAGCTTAATACGTTCTGCGGGTCGTTTGCAGTTAATGTAGTTGTATCGGGTTTCTTGTAACCGACCTGACACTGTAATAGTGAAGGTACAAAATGCTGTGTTTCCGGCTTGGTCTCTTGCTTCGTATTTGATGAAATGTTGACCCACTCTAAACCCTGATCCTTGTACAGACTCTGTAAACAGAGTCACAGGTTGCTCTGAGTTATCTTCGTAATGTGGCATGGGCCAGTGAACTGACACAACTGGACCAGCGGTATTCTTTATAACTTTTATGTTCTTGGGGCACGTGATCCTTGGGGGCTCAGTATCTGTGAAATGTAAGACAATGGAGGTGAAAAGAAGCAACAAAAACACAAGTATAACTAATGACAACGTGTGTAATCTACTTTAATGTAAGTAGCTCTTATGGGAGGCTGTGAAAGTTTATTTAACGGGACCTCGTCCCTAGATGATTCTGTGCTCTCTCGACGGCATTCTCTGAGAAATATCAACGGCTTAAGGCAGGGGTAGATCATTAAAAATCAATTCTCGCAGCTAGGGACCATTGAAGTCTTGAGTTGAGGCCAAGATTTGCTGGCGTCATCTTCGATTATTCTCAAAAAACAGATCAGTCGAAAGTCACTGACTGAATCTAAAACCTTTTCATGTCGGGCGATCACATTAGAACCTAGCTTAATTGATTGTCCTATTGAGCAGTGACTTTGGCGTTGCACCGCTTTGTTTAATGGCAAGTTGCTTTTATCTCTCCAAGTCAGCTCTCCACGTCCTCTAACAAATCTTTTTTTCTTAATTAATCCCCTCCGCACTTTACGTCCCTGCACGTAGGAGCCTATCAGATTCTCACCTATAATTGTAACAGTGAACACACACGATTGCGAATTGCCACTGTCGTCAGTAGCAGTATATACTATACGAGTAACGCCAATGGGGAACTGGTGCGGTGACACGATATTCTTCGGGAAACTCAAAACGGTAGGAAACCTGTCCTGATTGTCTGTGGCCAACGGTTGCCTCCACTCCACCCGTCTTGTCGCTTTCCCAGGCTCTGCACTTTTAGTGAAATCATACGGGCATCTTATGCTAGGAGGCTGGTTGTCTTTGAAAAAACAGAAACTATGAGATATTCAGTTCAATTCAATTCAATTCGTTAGTTTCACACTATATAAAATATTTACACAAGTGTACATAGGTAGGAAAATAAAGTAGCTGATAAATAATAATTAACTAAAAGACATTAAGTTCATTTATGTACAGTGTTTAAAGAAGCAAGAGCTTTCTTGTTGGACACCGTCATGTTCAGATAATCGGCAACAGTAAAGAGAGGAATTAAAATCTCAGATAATATCAGTGATATAAGCAAGGTCAGATTTGGTTGGTTAGAAGATAGGACTTCCATTCTTTCTTAAACTTATGATATGGCAGACACTTGAGACCAGGCGGTACAGTCTCCCAGATTTTTGGAGCGGAGAATTTAAAGGACGTCTTACCTCGTTTTGATAAAGAGTTTTAGTTGGTGCTCTGTTAATGAGGACAATACGTTTTTAAGTAAATAAATTCCTTTTAGATTTGTGACATACGTAGAAGCCCATATTAAATTGTATAATGTGAGGTAAGGGGCAAATTAACGCATAATACAATGAAAGGGGATTCAGACAAAAACGAACTTAATAGTCCAATAAACTTGGCAATCGTTTTACAAGCAACGTTTACTAAATGTGCTTTCCATGTGAGATGTTGGGCAATGTAAATCCCTAGAAACTTTGTGGGCTCTAGCTACTAGTCCCACAATATTGTTATCTGCATACAGCTAGAAGAGGTTATTTGAGAAAAGATTTTTTGCCTAGGTCTGAAGATTATTGTGTTAGTTTACCGATATTGATTGACAATTTGTTAGCTCTTAGCCAAGCTGACACATTTTTAATTTGAGGTTCATGGATTAATTGGTTGATTAAAATGTTTGGGTCCTTATGTTCCAGGAATAAGCTTGTATCATCAGCCAGTAGAATGCTACTGAGGGCATCTGAACAAGCTGGTAAATCAACATACAGAATGAAAAACAGTGGACCAAGTTTAGACCCTTGTAGTGCAAAGCAGCTCTGATTATCTTCTAATGAGAG